TGCTATGATCCCAGCATTCTGACATCTATGCTCCCTCTTGAGAAATAATATAAGAAAAGAAGGATATTCTATAAAACTGCAAAAAAAATGTAAAAAAATAGCTTTTCATATTGATTAATACAAAAGTTTATTAATGTATCATGTCAGTCTCAAAACTTTTTTTCTTGACTCTTTTAAATGAACTGATTTGACAAGAATATAAATATAGAATGTTACAGCACCTGACACACATAACATTCATTGAACGTTATGAAGAAGTTAGTTAATAACATTAAAAAATGCTTTTTGCTTATTTGCTAAACACAGGATTGTGGTGCCCTGACAACTGACTTGAAAAAATAAGGTAAAACAGACCTAAAAACATATCAAACTCATCTGAATTAGATGTTTCTTTTGTTTTTTTACAATTTAGCCTTTTTGTTGCAAATATTGCAAATCAGTTACAGTTTGACCACAACTTACTGCTGCGGTATGTCTTCTCTCTCCTGCCAAAATTCTGCATCGTTAATGTGAATCTTGCAAAATATTAATTGAACCATTATTTTTTGTATATTTGCTGATAAAATGCTCATCTTACAGGAAATTCTTAGCCTTACAGACAACATCTGTCATCAGAAGTGCTGGATAAAAGTTGTATAGAACAATTCTGCTTATCTGTGAAATATCATAGCAATTAAAAAGTGTCTTTTTTCCAGGTTGCATTTCACTGTTGAAGCTCAACAGCAAATAAAAAAAATAATGTAAAATGAGTGCATAAACAAAGGCTATATCTCCACTAAGCTTTGATATAATGCATTACTTCTAGGACCATTTGCCCTTTTCTTACAATGTTGTTTAGGGTGTCTTCAAATCATCAGACCACAGTCGCACCAGCAGACCTCCTGCTCTCCCAGTGTAGTATTGTGTTTCTACTGGTGTAGCCTGATTTTTATTTGGGTTCAAGACAGAATTCAAGGCCTTATCTGCTGTAGTTGTCAACAGTCTTGTCTTTTGGGCTTCTTTCCCAGAAAAATGTGCACCAAGATGTGATTGCCAGATTTCAGGATGCAGAAGGGGACAGTGCACTACGACCACGCACATAGCCCTATAGCTGTGCTCAATGCATGGTGTTAAGGAAGGAGGTCTGCCAACCCACTTTTTGGGTGGTCATTGGGCATGTTCACCCCTCAGGTCAGTTTGCTCCCTTGCACACACACCTGGACCCCAGATGGTGGACAGTCAATGTTGGCAGGTATGCCAGTGGTGCTTTATTGTTACAGCATGATTAAATCATGTCTGTATTTAATATTGCTAAATATATTCACTGAAAGATCTCCTCTCTGGACAAAAATATGGACTCTACACTATGTTCACTCCTTACCATGTGTGTATGAAAATAAATTACTGCCACTTAGTTGTTTTGAACCTTTAGTTAGAAAATTACCTTTTGCTAAAGCTCTATTTCTGTTTGTTATAATTTGATTCCAGAAGAGATTTAGAATTTCCCTCCTTCGTATAAGTCAACCCGGACAAGATTTACTGTGGAGGTTTACAGAGTCTGGATGGAATCGTATTGTAGTTTACAACACTAATGTTCCTAGATTTGTCAATAATGTTGGGTTATCATGTCTCTTTTTTCCTTGTTACTTAACATCTGTTCATTTATACAAACCCTACTTGGGTACATCTATAGTATGCTGGAGGGAATGCATGGTGGAAGGGGCTATCCCCCAGCTGTTCGACATCTGATGGATTTGCCAATTTATCATCACTATTTGGGAGTAGTTTTTCCAGTATGCTCATTCAGTCACAGCTGTCAAGTTGTTCCAAACTCCAGAAACAGGTCTTCTGTGCTTATACATTACTTCAAATACCAAAGCACAAGGTAAACACTTTTTATTTATATTTCTAATCTTAAACCACCAGGGCAAGTTTTCCCCCACCCCCCCCAAGAAGTCAAGCGAAGGTTGTGCTGCCCTAGGCATGAAAAAAACTCGGGCATGCCCCAAACACACGTCCACACTCACTGACAGACACACACTGACAAACACACATACACACTCACTGACAGACAAATATACACTCAGTGTCAGACACACACACACACATACACTAGCTGACAGATACACAAATTAACTAACAGACATACACATTAATTGGCAGACACATATACATACTCACAGGCAGACATACTCTCACTGATAGACACACACACACACACACACAAACACTGACAGAGAAAGACACACTCACTGACAAACACACATACACTCTCACTGACAAACACACACACAGTCTTTGACAGACACACATACAAACTCACTGACAAACATATATACACTCTAACTGACAGACACACATACACTTTTACTGACAAACACACGCATACAAACTCACTAACAGACACACATACAATTTATTATACATTTAAAAAAAATTTTACTCCACCCAGACTCCCTATCTTTGAGAGTGCTGACATGGAGTCTATTTCCTCAGGGCTTCTGGGCTGAGCAGCTGGGCATGCGGTCACTGGGGTCCAGTGGGGCTGCTGTGCTGAGCGGCTAGGCATGCAGTCAGTGCAGGCGCGTGAGGGAGCTCTGATCTCCCTCCATCACTGTGGTGCCTGCGAGGGAGCTGAACAGGGGGGAGCTCAGGCGAGAATGCTCCTAAGCAGATGCCAGCCTTGCGGGCCCCAAGGGGGACAGTCGGTCAACTTATTGGCCCCCAAGAACAAGAGACTGACAAGGCATCAACCAAGGCGCTTGGGGGCTGGCTTTTTTTGCCACTCCCCTGAAAGTGCCGCCCAAGACAAGTGCCTTGTCAGCCTCACACTAGATACAGCACTGACCACAGCTCCTAACCACCACTAATGTGTCTAACTCCCATTATTGCTCCTACACCCCACCACTATAGATCCTAACCCCCTGCTTTAGCCACTTACCCTCCAAAATTGCCCCAACCAAACAATACTGCCTCTAACCACCACTCCTGTTTTTAACCCCACTGCAGCTCTTAACCCCCAATATAGCTCCTAATCCTCCCACTACTGCTTCTAAGCCACACTATTTACCCTAGCCCACACTACAGCCACTAACCACCCACTGCAGTCCATGTCCCCACTACTGCCACTAAACCCATATACAGCTCCTACACTAACCCCATTACTGCTCCTAACCTCCAACTACTGCCTTAATTCCTGTCTACAACTCCTAACACCAAACTGCAGCTTTATCACAGGTTGATGTTTATGTGCACTGTACTATTTATACGTTACCTTTATCTAACTTCTTCAAATCACTGTATTGATTCTTTCTCTTGTCCCTAGTTACCTTTTCTTTCATGTGTACAAAAACGTCATACATTATGTACATTCATATTGTACTTTGCTGTGTGTGATTGTTAATTGTAACATTGCATAATCAGTAAAAAAATACATGTACTTAAAAAAGTAAGAAAACTCTAAAAATCGTTTAATTAAACAGGGAACTTTATTGTATAATAAATAATGTTATAGTTAATTAGGCGATAAGGAAATACTTCCACTCCAAGCACTCCATGATGTATAAATAAGATTCCATACAGGAAATATTGGTCTGATTATGTGTACAGCACTTTATGTGTCACCTACTGGTCAAGTAAAAAAAAACATATTCAAAGCTTATTGTTTATCATGCTATCAGATGTACTTGCAGTACAGGATGATACAATGAAACAAATCTAAATAGCATATTTAGGGTAATGCCCTTTAAAGGATTATCTAAAATAAAAAGATCATCGTGAAAAGCTGCTTAATTCCTCTGTTTATCCAACTGCAATAAAATGTTGATTCTATCCTTTGTTGTATATGTAACAAACAGAATATTTATCAAAAAGATGTTTATCCACGTTACAGTAAACCCTGGCTTTTACAAAGGTCTCGCTAAGGAATTCCACTCTAAACTGCTTCACAGGTCTTTCAAGGACATAGTATAATCCATTAAATGATGACAAGCAGCATTAGGGCACGCAGGAAAATATTTCCACTTTCTTAAGCTGGTTATATGTTTACGACAAACATTTCTGGAGAATAAGATGCCGTATATTTTTGTTTTTTCTACTTAGAAATTCTAGTACTCGGTCCTATGCTATATCCAGATTTATCGATACATACCAGCATAATGGGGAAATATAATTTCTCCAGAAATAACACCATTTAATAAAATACCTTATTTTTTTATTTATTAACTTTATTTTCATATGGCAAATTTAATTTCTATTAAATTTACATTACAGGTTTAGCAAAGTACATTACAATCTGGTTAAGTCCAGTTGCATCCTGACCACATACTGGCAGTGAGACTCCACCCTCATATACAGTTACCCAATGAGAATTCTAGAACACAGGACAATATGGAGACCTGTGTGTTAGGGCATCAGACTGCCTGATACAAAACCAAAAAGAGATTTTTTTTTATGCAGACTAAAGGGTTTTTTTTTTTGCTAGAGTGTGGATTCAAAGTGAATATATGTGACTTTCAATCTTAAAGTCAAAAGAGCCAAACTGAAAAAAAAAATCCCTATGGCTTTAAATTTTAAATTTACTTTGAATTCTGTCTGAATTCTCACTTTTGTAAATAACTCTATATGTATACCTGAGGGGCTATACTCAAAAAACGGGACATTTTCTAAAAAAATACTGCAAAATCTTAGCAGCATTATTTAATGAAGCTCTCTGCAAAATTTTGACATCAACAATTTGAAAAAGGGGTTGCATGATTTAATTTCAAAAACATGTTTATCATTAGTCCTTACCATGCCAATAGATTTCATTTTGTTTTATTTAAGCAAAAATTTGAGGAGTGGGACTGCCCTATCTTTAAGGACCATCGTCAAGGGGTGGTAGATGAAGAAGAAGATACCCTGGGAAGAAGTAGATTCCCAAATAAATGGGTGTAACGGATCATACTTCAGTGGGACAAAGGTGTTTGTGCGTGTGAGCTATCCTAGAACAGTTCTCCCAAAAATCTTAAAGGTGGTTAATACTATTGTATAAAAGGAGAAATGGTTAGCACTCCATGACAAGAATGGAAGAGGTCCTTGTGGTCTTCACAACACATATATGGTTAAGACAGTGCCACCTACTTTGTGGCATCTATAACCATGTTTTTATGTCTGCTCTCTTTCTAACCGTTTAATGTTTATGTACCAGCTTATTTAGCTATGTGGATCACCTACTCTTTTGGGGACTCAATTGATCTATTAGAATCTCACTATAGCAAAACTATTTTCTGGTTGACTGACTCTTACCTTAATTAATTCTGTATTTATATTATAGATGCTCATTATTGTGACATTTTTACCATTATGTATGTATTTACTGAACCCTATTTTTTTCTTTCTGCATTCCTGTGTTTTTCTTTTGAAAATCAATAAAATGAAAGTTTTATAGAAAGTTGTTGACGAGTTCTTGCACCAGCAAACCTTTCAGTAATACTCTGAAAAATGTTTTATTATTGATGACAACATAATATAGTAGGGGGAACAGTCTAATTGTGCCCTCAAGGACATCCCTGCAAGGTTAAAAGTGGCACTTGTATTTTTTGTAGTTTGTGTATTTGTTTTGCTTTAGGCAATATTTCCATCTATCCCTAAGGTTGGATGAAAAATAAAACGTTTTTGTTTAGGAAAGTGACAATGCTTTCTTTATTTAATAAGTGAATATCGTTCCAATACCTTGTATGCCTGTATTTCCGTAGATTCAAGGTACCGTTAAATCAGTTTGGTTACTATGGTCATTATTTTCACTGATAGAGATAAGGGAAATAAGTTCATTAGAAAAGTAATTCATTTTAAACATTATTAATTCAGAGTATGCGTTTGGGTAAAATGAAATGAATCAATAGGGTTAGCATTGTTTAAATGTTTCCCATATGGTTAGGGATGCTTTAAATACAACACTCCAAGCACCATAACCACTACACAGTATTTTATTGCCAGGAAGCAATGAGTGCCATACCACATTTCTCCTTTTAAATTTTTTTTTTTAAAGAAATATGTTCCCTCAACTCTTAATGTCCACCACTTCAATGTAAGACAAAGGTATTTTCACTGCTTCATTATCAGTTCATTGAAAAGGAAGTATTTTTTGCTGATACAGACAATTTGAATATCCAAGGGGAAAACTAAGTGGGTATCAAAGCTTGCTAGCTATTTCAACCTTGTTTGCCAATGTAGCTACAACTTATTCAAATCCAAGATGGCTGCTTCACTAAATTCTACCCTCACTATGCCCCATCCTCCATGGTGAAGCCTGCAAGTATTTTATTATCCCAGCAAAATATGTATTGATGCTTCTAAGATAATTCTGATCTACAACATCTCAAAACCTTTTGTGTTTTTGCTGTGAAACATTTCCTTGCCTTCCTCATCGCTGGCGATTGTGACCTGATTGAAAATATACTTTCAGCTACCTCAGATTTCCTGTTAACCAGAAAACCAAAAAAAGATATTATTGTAGCAGGACTTTGTTTGCTTTAGGTTTCCTTTACAGTCGGCTCAAAAGTGTTCTCAATCCAGTGACTGTTAAAGACGCTATATATTTAATCTCATATATGTTCAATCTCATTTTCTGTTCTTCAGGCCTCACTTCCCACTCAACTCGGTGAAGCACTGCATTTTTTCTCCCCACTTCCCGCCCACCCAGTCTCCCCCTAAATATATAGCATGCTCCTCCAGCTGTTTGAGATTCTCACTCAATTACCTCTACATTCCCTCTGTATTTTAGCAATAGCTGCTTCTCTGTTAACTCTTTCAGCCATCACCTCCAAAGTTCCCCTGCTACCTCTTGTCTCAAATCCCCATGGTATCCTTTAGATTGTAAGCTCACGGGCCATCTAGCCAAGCACTTTGTATAAAAGAGCTCCAAAGTCTAGATATCAGCTTACAGGCAGGGCTTTCTCTACCTCTTGTATTTGTCTGTGTATGTTGTACGTTTCTCCACTAATTGTACAGCGCTGCAGAATCTGTTGGCGCTTTATAAATAGCAGTAATAAATAAATAATCTGTTGGATTGATTTTGTGTTATTACTTTTTAGGTAGTGTTTATAAAGTGCTGACATTATCCACATTAATGCACAACTGACTGCCAAATTCAGTTACTCAAAAATGTACAGCAAGTCACCTTATAAATCTTGTATTTTTAAATATAGGATACAGTGTTTACACCTAAATGTGGGTTCAAAACGGCCTGTTTCCTATATTCTGAGTGTGTATATAGCAAGTATCAATATATATAAGCAGCAACGAGCAGGCCATGTGGAGATATCAGAGCTCTCCCTCACCGGCCCAGTCTGGTCTCCTTTGCAAGTAGGTGAGCCATGGAGAGTCTAGCCTGCACCTTCCCCAAGTGCAGATGGGGAGTACCCTCCCGTGAGCTGAGCCATACAAACCGTTACCATGGCAACACTCAGATACTATAGAGTTCAGGGGCTCAAAAGACGAGCACACTGAGTCTGTACCCGACAGAGGTACAGGCTAGAGTCCCTCACCACTGGACCGCCAGATAATATCATGTCCCTCCTCCCTTGCCTAACGTAAGACGCACAAAGGGGAAATAAACAAAATTATAAATAAATAAATAAAACAACATATAAAACTGCCCAACTCTAGCCTCCCCACACACAAATATAGCTCCTACACACATACTGCAACCCCTACACACACAACATTCTGCAAACACGCACCGCATCCCTAATACACACATTATACTTTGAAAAGCAATGAGTTAAGTAGCTCCAAGGGAGCCTTGCACTGGAAAAAGGGAAGTAAAACTCTTTTTTCTCTTTGTGCTCACACAGAGGGAGGGACCTATCTAATTAGGGACGGGGACACTAAAGCGTTAGGAATGCAGGTTTAATGTTCCTTTAATCTATCATAAGTTTTGATCTGAATATGAAGATTTTGTAAGTGAGCAAGCAGATAAAACATAAATTCGAAGCACAGTATGTCTGGAAGGAAATGTAATGCATACCGCTAGAGTATATTCTGTAGTTATAATTAAGGCTCATATCAACATAGGTTTCATTTACAACATAAAATATAAAGTACAAAACATAATGATTCTATATCCCTTTGAAAAGAGCAGCTGGAAACACATATTGGACCAGAGTTTGCTGTGAGCTCTTTATCTGAATCACCCTGTTTCTGTTGAAGTGGAGCCTAGTTCTATATTTGGATTATTCTGCTGAAAGACAGTAGAACCAATCTCAAAGAACTGAATTTCTACTAATATTATACACATGCATGTCACAGAAATTTCATTTTCTTACTAGGTTTCTTGCTTTGATCTTGTTATATCAGCATTTCTTTGTAATTACATTTGTGAAAATAAAAAGAAAATAAAAAACATAAAAGTACTGTTTAACATTACATAGAAAATGTATTTTTGACTATATATTTTTTTACAGGTATATACTATTGAAATGTGTCTTTCTGTGGGCCCAATACCCAGTAACAGTAGTACCATTATACTATAACTATTAAACTGTACAGATGTTTCATAGATGCTATAACACTACAAATAATCCATATTCTGCACAGATTTATATTTTGTCCATTCTCCCTCGTCCTCATGCCGGGCTGCTACAATGTATGAATATCATTTCAAATATTCGAACTGAGAATAGGGACGAGGGACCAGCCATTTGCAGACTAAAATAGGGATAGAGTGAAACTTTTGCTTGAGAATATTTCTAGTGTTTGAATTTTAATTCCTTTATGTGAATAAAGTTCAATTTACACAGCAGATGATGAAAACACATCTAAAGTACATTAGCATCTGATTAAAAATTAAACAATTTTTTCATGCGGGCTGTGTGAATCACAGCCAGGGGAAATGTGGCTAGGGCTGCATAAACAGAAACAAAAGTGATTTAAAGGGACTCTATAGTTACCAAAGCAGCCTTATCAATCCTCTGTAGTCTCACTGCACAATTCTCTACAATTTAGGAGTTAAATAATTTTAGCTTCTGTCCATGCAGCCCTAGTCACACCTCACCTGAAATTATAAGGGTTTTAGAAGGCTTTGCACACAGAGAGGTGTGGCTAGGCTACGTAAACAGTTATAAGTGATATAACTCCTAAATAGCAAAGAACTGAGCAGTGAGATTGCAGGGGCATGATCTATATACCAAATCTGTTTCATTAAGGTAAAGTTGTTTTGGTGACTATAGTGTCCCTTTAATAATATTACATTAATAATATTACACTTTTAATAAACAAAAAGGCTGCAGAAATCATGTGATGTCAGTGACCAGTTGGAACCTGAGCATTCTACACTGCAAGTGGGAATGTAGTGTCAAAGTGTTCATATAGTACCCTACGTAGGTACTGTTCTCTAGAAATATAGTTAAAAAGGAGATTTAACAAGTTTTATAATGATCAGACATTCTCCCAATATTATCGTATTTTCTTAAAAGGAGTAATGTTTTCTCTGCAACCTTATCCTCCTCTCATTGGTTTCCTTAAAAAAAAATTTGAGTTGGAATTTTCACCAGTGCCACCAAATGTAATCCATTCATTGAAGAATGTTGTAAAGAAAATAGTCTGAAGTTATATGTAACACAGAAAAAAAAACCACATTAAAACATCAGACTTTAACTACTGGCCAATGTTTATAAAATCACATAGCTCATATAGGCTTCAACTTAATATTGTTGGCTAAACCTTTCAAATGATTTTATATTTTTGGATAATCTTTTAAAATGATTAATTATTATAGAAAACATTAAAATTGTGTATTTTTTTTTTACATTTTGTGGTATGTAGATTTTTTTTTATAAAATATTGTAGGTGAGCATTATGCTTACATGCAATTATTATTAAAATATCCTAATGGCATTTTGGGAAGTTCATTCTCTATTTTCAAATTTTCCCAAGCCCGGCATTTGACAACAGATGTCTACTTTTGTTACATCTTCTGTGTGTGACAAAAAAAGCATTTTTGCATTTTCACTAGTATTTCAGAAAAAAAAAAAAACAGGACACCATATAACTGCTAAAACAGTTTATCCCTCAACTATTGCTGTAAAATCTTTGCAAATAAATGAAACCTTCATATGTGTAGATGTACGTAATATTATTTTTAGATATTGCTACATAGCAACCTATAAA